CGCAGATTCTTTTTTTCTGATTATTGCATATATTACTGCAACAAATAACGTGGCTACAAAAAATCCCACTAAACTCATTTTTGTTCATGTTTAAAAATTCTGTTGGTGAAACTATAGAAATAATCATCTAAATTAATAAATTATAATAAAAATAAATGAATAAATGATTATTGTATTACCGATTGGTCTAAATCCGTAATTTTCATCTAAATATTATGTAATGTTTCCTCCCGATATTGCTGTAAAATTTTTCTTTGATATCAACAAATTCAAATCATCTTGAATTACTGAAGCAATATTTTCATTATTATTTCTTGATTCATCAATATGAAGCATTATAATTATTTGCTTTGAATCTGTTCCAGAGTTATATAATTGATAATGTTCATTTGAGCTTAATCTTTCTCGCTCAATGGGAATCATGTCTGAGAGTTCTTTTATCAAATTAACGAAAAAGTAGTGCTTTCCATTGTCATTTAAATTTTGAAAATACTGGGTTCCAATCTTTGTCAGTAGAAATACCTAATTTAAATATTATAATTCCAGACCTGAGATTGGCGTTATAGATGTTTTCAAAAAGATGCAATCACATCATTAGAAAATTTTGAAATTTCCCAGACTTCTGGAATTTTAAAGGTCTACTCTAATTATTGCGCTTTTCAAATTGCTGTGTCCACTGATTTTCATACATCACACTGAGAATCAGAAATCTAGAAAAAATGCCAATACGTGATAAAAATTATTTTCAACCAATCACAGATTTGCATTTATTCTAGATTTCTGATTTCCGGTGTGGTGTATGAGAATCAGTGGACACAGTAATTTGAAAAGCGCAGCAAATACTTAAATTTTTTCTAATTAGAGTTTCCAGATTCATCGATTTCCACATAGATATATCAATACAGCGGATTGTTGGAATTTAATCTTAAACAAAAGCTTAAATTTAGGAGATTTAAAAAGGTCAAATTCAAAAAATCTTCTGTATTGTGTTTTAACAATGTTTTCACCGATTTAACAGTTATTATTAATGTCCAAAATTTATATATGGATTTAAAAAATATCCACATTAAAATTGTTACATACTTTTAATTGCGTAATAAAAAAGCATTTGTCATCGTTAGTTGTCCACATTTTTTTGAAAGCCGCTGCAAGTACATACTATCATATTACCTGATTGATTTAATATGGCCAATATTGGCAATGTAGCTTCTATTTATGAGGATTAGTTAGACTAATTATTATAAAGATTTTTGTCCCATATTATAACTATGTTTTAATGATAAAATTTTTATAAACTCGGTTATAAAACATTCGCCAACATTATTTTTGAACAGGGCTTTTGTATTAGTCTATAAATTGTTAGAGAAATATTTTATGGGACAAAATCCAGAAATATCATAATTAAAAAATGATATTAACCTGGTATAGGTTCATTATGTCCAGCACTTTTTACGAAATTATTGTCCATCTGTATATAATATTGTCCACCTGGCTTATTAAAAGTGCAGTGTAAAATTTCAAATTGAATAGTGACTTGATCATCTGAAAGAGAAAAATTACAGGCTCTTGAATTAATGATCTGTCTAATAACATTATTTTCCTGATTAATTCTTCGAAAAACAGTTAGGTTGCCATTCGAGTATGAAACAGGTTCTTGAAACTTAATAGAGATTATGCCAAAATTCAATAAAATTTTAGTACCAATTTCAGGAACCGTTGAATTCACATGTAAATTATTGTATCGGCGGTCTGCAATAATTAAAATTATTCAAAAAAATTTAAATTTAAATTTAAATTTATAAATTCAAAAAAAAAAAAAACCTCCGCACGGGGAAATAATTGGCACATCAAATGTTGAATGTTCCCAAGTGTTCGTCGCAGCAATAGAATTTGTTTTAAGTTGGGAAAGCAGTCCTGTATTATTTGGCATTATAGCATGAGTAATGTACTGGTTAATAGCCAATTGTGGAGCTTTTATATTTTTGTCATATTCATTGTAAAAGCGAAGATCAGTAACATTGTAACTATATTGGTCTTTGTTGATTTCTAAGAATGCCATTCCGTATCCGCCAAAGTTAAATATGTCAATAGCCGTAAAAGTGCTCGATGAACCATT